ATAAGAGACAGCTCTCTCTCTCTCTCTCTTTCTCTTTCAGTCGAGCTTTTAATTAATACCATCATTGCCACCATAAAAATCTTTATAATGCTTCCTCAGGTGCCATGCAAAATAATACATGTTTAAAGAATGACTGATCGCGGGTGATGCATGCATGCGCGCACAAATAAAAATTTAACACGCATCACTCGTAATAAATGTGGCAGCAAAGGAATTAATTTAAAGTTAATGAATCATTTTCTAAACAAAATATAAAAAGTCAAATTTAGCAAAAGATGGATTGTTTGAGCGTTGAAAAATTTTAGCATTAACTTTAAAAAGACATTCCGCAAAATTATATATTGATTATATAGAGCCTCCAGACTTTCCACGAAATCTTCACGTGATCGAGAAAGGCAGTCGTCACATTAATCTGGGCTGGACGACCAGTCAAGACGGGAACAGTCCGATTACACAATACATAATCGAGTACAAAACCGAATCAGGTAAGTATAATTGTATCCACTAGAAATTTAATATTATATACAATATATGTAATTATGTATAATAATAGTATATGCATATAATATTAAATCCCGCGTGGATATTAGATTTTTGCAATTAGATATTTGCTGTTATATTTATATCGACCTACGCGATATTATCATCAGTGTTTATTATAGCCATGATCTTTCAATATTCTGAATTATTATTGAATTTCAGATATTGATATTTCTGTTATTTACAATTTGCGATGGAGAATCGAATTGCTTGTCAGAGCATCGAAATTTTTAATTGGATATTAGAGTTTTATTAATCTACTTTTATAGTAAATCTGTCTATTTTTAATTTATTTATCTATATATCTATTTATTTTTATTTTTTTATATTAATATTTTTCTATATACTAGCTTTACAGACGCGCGCTTCGCGCTATTTAATATTTTTTTACTTTTTACGTGGTCCAGTCTGGGGATTAAAGGGATTAGTTCCTTGATCCGAAATTAGGACCAAAGAACGCGCTGGTTTGAGAAACGGCGTTATAGCGTCCGTTTCAGGACATTGACCCATTTTTCAAATCCATAAGATGCGCTCGACTTGCAGCAAACGCCTCCGTGTATACATACAACTGCGAAACAGAATGTCTGACCTATAACGTTTTTCCACTTCTTTAAAATGTCTCTCTTTTCCAAACAATTCTTTTTAAACGACTTAAATTCGGGATTTGGACGTAACACATATTTAATATTATATTATATGCATATTTAACAGGTTACTATTATATAAAATTATTTGCACCAGCACCTGTTGTAAATTTATATATTTCTATTTCTTATATATATATATATATATATATATGTATATATATATATATTTATTTATTTATTTATAAATGTATATTAATGTATATAACTTTTTAATAGCTAATGTACAAATAATTTTAATAGCAACCTGTTAAACAGCGTAATAAAGAAATATATCTCGACATACGAAGCCATAGAAAAGATACTTTGGGCGATAATGATTGTAATTATCATATTTGCGATTATATATTTATAAAAAAAGTACATGATAACAATAGTTTGTAATGTGCGTGAACAAATTTTTTATTATTTTTGGCACAAATTTAAATTTTAAAACAACTACATTTAATTATTTATATATTCAACTTGAGACTTTATTACATCATTTGGTTAGTTTAATTTCTACTCCAGTAGTCGACCACTTTTTAATATTGTTATCGATTTTCTTCAAGTCGTTAGAAGAAAACTTAATAATTGTTATATTTGGGTAGAAATACTCTTGTAGAAATACTCTCTGTTATATTTGGGTATATACCGCTATATTCTAGGCTCCAGATGTATACATTTTTACCAATGTGCGTACGATTCTTCCGTTATTGCGCAAATTTTCTGCAGACGGTAGCGCAATACGTCTGATAAGTGTAATAAACTTTGGTCCTTGCGAATGGAAGTCTATAAAACATGCGTTACGTTATACATTGATCCGAATATACAGAAATTCTCACACAAAAGCAGGAATGTGACACAAAAAAGTGGAAGACATATAGCTACGCACGTATGTGTGCAACGGAACAACACTTTTTATAGTTCATTCACGTAATAAGATTTTACGTTACCTCTAATACTACGTGTAGCGCTAAAGGAAAATTATTTATCATTTCGTTATTTTCATTGTCATATTTGTAGACATCAAGTTCTTGTAAAGTATTACAATTTGCGATGATTACAAAGTCAAAGTTGTCCAAGATAGAATTGACAGTATAGTGAAGAATCCTCGTTAAATCTTCCACCCCTTGCGTCTGAATTACTACATTTTGCATTTCTATTGAATCAACCAGCAATATCGTCATGCTCGGGCAATCAATCAGTGAAATCAAACGGTTATTCTCGTCTATGTGATATGTCATAAAAAAGCCAAATGTGCAAACGATCACATTTATCATCCCAGATTTGAAAAAAATTTCGTCGCAGTTTGCAGCGTATGAATGAAATTTGTCGAGATCGGTGTTATTGAAAGTAATACGGTGAACATCCTTTTGCAGATATGACCAATGTAAGAGGCACGTCACGAGGCATACTGTGAATGATGCCGGGTAGACGAATTCATCATTTGCCATTAATTTCGTGGATAAATGCATTTTAAAAGGTTTTATTTCAATCCGCTCTTTGTAGCTGACATAGAGGAGCGAGTAATAGAATGTTTGCAGAAATACTCTCTGTTTGTCCGAATAACGTAAATCGTGTTTATGCAATAGCTTCACTTTTTCAACGCAAAAGTCATAGGATTTAAAATAGGACGTTAACATTTTTTTGTGACGGTACTTCAAAGAAGAAATTGATTTGTGGAAAATTTATTATAATTTTATCGTTTGAACATGCAATCGGTGTTTCAATAAACGTCAGTGTGGTACGTAAATCCGTGTCAGCGTGTTTACCTGATAAGCATAATCTGCCTGGTGCAGATATTTTGAAAAATCGACTCATTTTTACAGTTAATAGTTTTACAGTTTGTGTTACGTAAAGTATTTCGTAAAAGTTGAGACATCTGCATCGCGTGTCTTATTTTATTAAATTTACACGAAATATAAACTTCAGTTTATAAATTTTCAAATGCAATTTAATATAAGGTTTATTTTATCCGATTGTTCTGGTATTTGCAATGAAACAGCGAGTACATCGCAATTATTTTCCAAGATGTCATACAGAGCCTGAAGTAAATGTTGTCAGTTAATGTAACATTATATAAAAGCTGATTAATGCATGAAATCAAGTATTGAAATGTGCTTTTGTAATACACATCCAAATCTGAAACAATGTTTTATATTGTTACTTACTTGATAAAATAATTGAAACTGATGCAAACGTTTTTTCATTAAAATTGACACAATTATTTAGCTGAATCAAGTTAATCGATTACTGTATGTACGTCTCTAACGATACTCACACACTCAAGAGTCTAGAGTCACTAACGGACGGTTGAAAGAGAAAAATAACAGCATGCGCAGGATAAAGTTTTTATTTACAAGTCCAAACTTTCTCTCTCTTTATGTTCGTCCTTTAATGTTTCTATCCTTTAATGTTTTTATTTAAATTGTCGGTTTGTACAGGGTAATGTGAGAACAATTTCATATATTATAATAGGTTGTGTGAGAATAATTTAATATATTTCGTTAAATTGATTTTATATTAGATCAGTTTCCATCTAGCAAAATTAATTCTACATATGTTCATAGGATTTGAAAGGATTTCTGATATCCTCAGTTTATTTCCTTAAGAGAAACCTAAGATATCATAATGAGCGACATATATATACCTATATATATATATTTTTTTTTTTTAATGAAAACTTAAAGAATATGACAAAAAATAAATGACACACAGCTATGCAACAGAACATTTTTTGTAGTTCACATAGTAAGATTTATCTCTCATGCTACGTTTTGCGCCAAAGGGAAATTATTTATCATTTCGTAATTGAGTTCATTATTTTTGCAGATATCAAATTCTTCTAATATATTACAATTTATGATGATACAACATGATATATTACAAATGTACATTTACAAATGTACAATTAGAGTTTATGGTGATTACAACGTTGATCAAATTGATAATATCGTGAAAGCTCCTCGTTAAATCTTCCAGCCTTTGTATTTGAATTTCTATATTTTGCATTTGTATTTAACTAATATAAATGCAAAATATATCTAGCAAATACGTAAATATATATTAGAAAATACATTCAGCATTATGACGCGGGTGACGCGCGCGCTATTTAATAGTTTTTACTTTTTATTTGCTTTTATTTACACTATTAATCTCAATACACACACATACACACACACACACACACACACACACAGAGTCAAAATGTGCAATAACAGCCGCTTGCAAGGTAAGCGCAGCGAAACATTCAATCGCAGAAAAGCAACAGCAGATATACACTTTCAGAGATACGAATATCAATGTCATACCTTTTTTTAGAAAGGATATAAATATATTTTTCCCTCCCCCCCCTCCTCTCTCCCTCTCTCTCTGATAGCTAGTGTGTGCGTGCGTGCGTGTATGTAGAAAAAAAAATACTAATATAAAAAAGAATAAAAATTAAAATAAATAAACAAATCTTAAAATAGAGAAATTTATTATAAAAATTAAAAATAGGATAATAAAAACTTGATATCCAATTAAATTTGATGCTTTGGTAAGTAATTAGATTCTCAATCTCAAATATTGTAACAGAAATATCAACAATCGAAATTCGATAATAATCCAGAATATTGAAAGATCAGAGCTAATAAATGACAGCTCGCGTAGAGACGATATAAATATAGCAGCGGCTTCGTCGCGGATTCGATCGTTTCCGATCGTTGACCCCGGAGAATTAAATCACACCGCGAGATGATCGTTCAATTTTGCAGAAGTATGGCACGACCACACGTTCCACACGACGGTACCGGGGACACGTGCGCGCGGCCACGTGAGCGGTTTGCGTCCAGCGGTCACTTACCAGTTCCGGATGTACGCGGACAACGAACTGGGTCGGAGTCAAGCGAGCGACGTAGGTATCGGGACCAGGCCGTAACATTTACAAGTCAAATCGCCCCCCCCCCCCCGTCCCCGGTCGGACGATCGTTTCCTCGCCGGGTCGACCGGTCGTCATCCTTCCCATCCTTCCCCCGGAGAATTAAAACAATCGGGACAGCGGTGTGTGTAACGAAGAGCCAAGCCCGATCGATATATTCCCACGCGCGTGAGGAAAAAGAAGAGTTATCTCACACCTCCCCCTTCCCCCCAAAACGAATCCCTCTCTCCGTCGCCTCCTGACGGATGTGCGGCCGCATCGTTAGCCTGGATTTAAATTACGCTTACACGCACTGCCCTCTCGTACCTCGGTTTTTTTTCCTCCACCTTGGCAAAGAATTCGCTCGCGCGTTTAAGGATGCAGATGCATTAACATTCGCCGCGACGCTTTGAGGTAAAACATCGGGGCGTACGTGCATCCAACCGAATTCGTTCTGTTCATGCGGATTCACCGCAATTCGCGATCTGCGTTTCGCATGTTTCCTTAAACGCCGACGTGACGGCTGACATCCGGCTTTTATACATATATATCACACTCCACTTATACTTGTATACTCTCTGAATGATTTCCGAATCTGTATTAGTTTTACGAAAGAATTCAATCCGTGTCTTTATTTTACGACCGTCCGTTTTAATATGAATTTATAATTTAAAAAAAAAATGAATTTATAATTAAAATTCGTTATACGGATGGAGAATTGAGAAACGCTTGAAAGGTTCGGCGGTAATTAATAACGGAAGAAAAAAAGAACGAACGCGGCAGTGAAAGCGGCGAAAGTGAATGGAGCTCGCTGGAGGATTCAAAAGGGAGTTTACGGGCTTTTCAGATTTTAGAGACGACCACCGAGGGGGAGAAGCCGGGCGGACCGCCGCGAAATCTCAAAGTAGACCCCATCAGCTCGACCGAGTTCAACGTCACCTGGGATCCGCCCGATCATGATTTATGGAACGGCGAGATACTCGGTTATCATGTCGGCTACAAGGAACACAGGTAACGACTGAAAACACTGCCGTTATTTTAACGACGCGACCTCGACAGATAGGGGTTTGTTTCCTGTCTTGCGCGCGCGCGCGCGCACACACACACACACGCCCCTCCGGAAGGGTTAATATTTATTATGGGCGATACGCATAAAGTTCCCCGAGATAATACTTTGTGTTTTAATTTTAAGAAACGGAGACACTATCGACGCGACATGGCGTCATTATTTTATTCTCGCTTATCCTTCTTTTAGACACGGATTGCATTTTTTGCGGCGAATACACAGCTGATGTAAAATAATCTATAGAATAGGTTTTTGTATAAAATGTCCGTGTGAAATACATGAAAGAGCTCTGACCTTTTTGAGGCATCATAAAAAAAGAACTCGCTGCGGCAGG